TGGGAACTACAGAGAACGGTCAATGCAATGCATATATGTGCACATATATTGTATGATGACTGTAAAAATGAATTTTATAGGAAAACGAAGCCAAAACCCGGACATTTTGGGCAATTTAAAAATACCGTCCAGAACATGTCCGGGAAAAAGAGGGCATGTGGTCACCCTAAGTATATCTAGCTAATCTACATATCATTATTTCCTTTGTGTTGTACTGGGTGTGATAAATGTCTTTGTCTTTAGGTTTCTTTCCTAACAGCTTTAAAAGCTGTGAGACCTTCATGAGACACAAGATGACTCTGATATCCCCCTCTGTACTAAAGAAATACAGCATACCATTTGACAAGGCAATCCACAGTCTTTTAGAATCAATTTTCTAAACTATTTTAGTTTTATGAATAATGTTGCAGTGTCTCAGTTCTCCTTGAATGTATTCACAATAAACCGATATATTATTACAGATAACACAGGAAGCGGGGGAGTTTATGATCACATTTCCATATGGTTACCACGCTGGCTTCAACCACGGCTTTAACTGTGCTGAATCCACCAATTTCGCAAGTATCCGGTGGATTGATTATGGAAAAGTTGCTACGCAGGTACTAAGCTGTTGCTGATGTAAATCTGGCACCTTCACGTTACCGTCATCTACAGCTGGTGAACATTTGACACTCTCTTGTTTTTGTTTTTTTGTGGGAAATCTGTCCTCTTGCAGTGTACATGCAGTAAGGACATGGTGAAGATCTCCATGGATCCGTTTGTCAGACGATTCCAGCCGGATCGCTATCAGGCTTGGACACAAGGCAAAGACTCATGTCCATTGGATCACACCCTGGCCACACCCAGCACCACACCAGAGCTGCAGAGCTGGCTTCAGAGGCGGCGCAGGAAAGCGCCCTCCACCACAAGGTGTTAGCACGGTTTAACTATGGTCAGTTTCCTCTTTCAGGTCAACTGCTGTCATGGAGGAGCAACAGCGTGAAGAGAAATTTGCTGAGCAACTTGACATTTCAGTCTATTTAAGACCCTTCATCTTCTCTGCTTTAGTAGAGATCCAAAGACAGAAAG